TTTTTTTTTGTGTCATTGTTGTCCATTTGTCTGAAGCAACCTACATCTGTATCTGCTGCAGAATTAGATAACCTGTAATTTTTTAGTGGCCTAATATTTTGAAAGTGAAAAGTATTTTAATGAAATACAAGTAAACAGACATAAATAACCCTAGAAATCAATTCAACTGTTCTGTAGAAAAGGAATGAGAAGCAATGCATGTTCAGATGCCTTTTTCCCTTAATTTAGCCCAGTTGTGAGTTGGGTTTGTAAAATGATGGTTATGTACATTTTTGAGATGAGAGATGGCACTGCTTCTTCCACTCTTCCATTTTAATCTTTTTGCTCCTTTCCAGAGGTGGAATATTGTAGGAAGGCCAGAACTTGCAAAAAGAGACATCTGTATTATAGACCTTGCTGATAATATTTGTTAAAGTTGCCTCTTTTCATGGTCAGATTTTGTTTTCTGTTGATTGCAGCTGTTTTGAACAGCAATTATTTGGAATGAAATCTAAATGTCTGTCCAGCTAATTCCTTTTAGAAAATTATAGGGGACATAGTTCTGCTGCTTCAACAAGTTAAGAGACTACACAAAACCCTCCATTATTTTGTTATTATTAAAATTTCTAGAAAGTGTTCTGCAGCATGACCTGGATGCAATTTGTGTGTCTTTAGGGCATATAGTTCCTGTAATATTGCACAAGGGGAAGGAAGGAACTTATTTTCTGCAGCATTTTGTTCAGAAACAAGCTTAAAACGGTCTATCAATTTATACATTCAAAGCCAGGATCTCATTGACTTGTACTGCAGGCATATTTAAAACACTGAAAATCAGATCAGCAATCCTACAGTGAGTATCAAGATGAGCAATCAGTGATTGTCCATGAAAAAACTTGTGTGAAATGTTTTGCCTAACTTAATGAGAATTTTACCACAGAAAGGAGAACTTAAATCAGTCATAAATGTTTTATTTTTCAACTTTCACATTTTTATTTCTGCAGCGTTTTAATTCTTTGAAGTAAATTACCAGTGGCTAATACTGTTGTATTTTTTATGCTGTCAAGTGGAAATTACCTAAGCTTCTTTATCTATGCTTTGTATTTCTTATTTTCTCTAGTTGGTAATATTTTTTTTTCTAAATTCAAATATGTGCAAAGAAATCTGGAATGTATTTCTGAAACATAAAGAATTAGTCAATCACTAACATTGACACAGGCAGAACTGACTGGTTGAGCAGCAGCATTGCTGAAAATGACATGGAGGTAGACATGAGACTGAATTATGAGCTAACGAGTGTTCTCCAGTTGGAATAAAGCAAACCACATACAGGCCTATGTTAGTAAAACTGCAGCTAGCAGGTGCTTGGTGGTGCTGCATCTGATGTGCTGGGTCAGGTTTGGGACCTCCTCTACTCTCATTTCTACAGGAGATGTGGAGAAACCAGGGAGGGTTCAACAAGGAATTAGTTTATGTTCAGGGGCCTAGCAAACAAGACCTTTAAGGAGAGTTTCAAGGAGCGAAGTTTGTTGAGTCTGGCAAAGAGGAAGCCAAGGAGTGATTGAAACTGTCCTGCAAACCGTAGGAGCCCAGCTGGTTAATCTTCAAGGACAGCTTCCTAAAACCCCAAGAACTGTTCATGCTGTTATGCGGAGAGTTGAGTGAGTATGGCAGAAGGCCAGCATGGATGAACAAGATGCTTCTGATTGACCTCAGACACACAAACAAAGTAAACCACGGAAGCAGGGGGGAGTTACTCAGTAGGAACATAGAAACATTGCCAGAGCATGTGGTGATGAAGTTAGGAAACCAGAAACTCATCTGGAATTAGAACTTTTGAGAGAGTTTAAGGGCAGTATGAAGGGCTTTTGTTAAGTGCATCCATGGCAAAAACAAGGGTGAAGAAAATGTTGACTTGCTGCTTAATGAGGGACATGAAAAAGGCTAAGAGTACCCAATTCTTTTTTTTTTACATTGTTTTTTCCCTAATAAAGCTTGCCCTCAGGCCGTCCAGGTTAGTTAAGCCTCCTAGCAGAGATGAACCATTGCCCACTGAAGTGGAAGGAAGTGTTAAGGAGCACTTAAGCTACTTGGACATTTTCAAGATACTAACCAGTATGTATCCAGGGGTGCTGGGCGAGCTGGCTGTCACTGAAGGGCTGTCATTAGCAAAAAATAATGATAGCTAGGGGAGGTCACTGATGACTGGAAACAAGCAAACATCACATTCATCTTCAAGGAGGTTCCAGCGAACTGCAGGCCGGTCACCCTCACCTCTGTCCTTGTAAAAATGTAGCAAATCCTGGAAGGCATTTCTAAACACATGAAGAACTAGAAGGCGACTGTGAACAGCCTGTGTGTATTTACCAAGGATAAATCATGCTGACCAACCTGATTGCCTACTGTCATAAAATGACCATCAGTGTGGATTAGGGGAGAGCAGTGGATGTTGTATACCTTGATTTCAGCCAGTCTTTTGGCACAGTCTCCAGACGTGTAATTATACTAGAATCTGTGAGGTTCTGACTGGATAAATGGACAACAGGGTGGATGGAAGATTGGTTTGATTGTTGGGGTCAAAGGCGGAATAACTGCTCTGCAGTCCAACTGCAACCTAGCATCTAGTGTCATACCTCATGGGGCCATACTGGGGACAATATTATTTAATGTCTTTATTAATAACCTGGATGATGGGAGTCTCAGCAAGTTCATGGATGTTATCAAATGTGAGTGCTCTGGAAGGTAGGGCAAGAATGATATTCAGTGTGACTTCAACATGCTGGAGAAATGAGATAATGCAGAACTCAAGAAATTAAGCAAAGGCAAACGCAAGGTCCTGCCTCTGAGAAGGAGTAGCCTCATGCAGTAGTACAAGACAGGTTAGGTGCCAAATTTCTAGAAAGCAGCTGTACAGAAAAAGAGTTGGGAGTCCTGCTGGATGCCCTTGTTTTGGTTAAGGCCAAAGGCATCTTGGGCTACCTTAGCAAGTGCACGACCAGCAGATCAGGAGGAGTGATTGGTGCTTATGAGCCCACATCTGGAGTTCTGTGTCCAATTTGGAGCTTCCCAGGAGAGGAGAAACAGCACCTCATTAGGATGAGTCAAGTAAAGGCCCACCAAGATGGCCAGGGGCTTGGAGCCCATGATGTACAAGGGGAGGCTGAGGGAGGTGGGCTTGTTCAACTTTGAGATGTTTTGAAAAGTGGGAGGGTGGGGTGTGGTGTGCAGACTAATTGCTCTCTGTAACTACTGGTAGGATGTGGAGAAGCCAGAGCCAGACTAGGCCAGGTATACAGTGAAAGAATGAGAGGCAATGAACACAAGCTACAGTCAGAGAAACTTTGACTCTGTCTAAGAGTAATTTTTATATAATGAATTTGGAATTGAGTAAATACAGGATATATGAAGTCTCACAAATGGGAAAGCTAAATGAAGAAAACATTCTAGGAATTTGGCAAAAGCGAGTAAGTGTTAGCTGTGTTATATGTCCAACAGCTGGAGAAGAATGGGAGTCACAGAACTATCCAGGTTGGAAGGGACTTTGAAAGAACGTCTGGTCCAACCTTTCAAAAGAAAAGGAAACTAGAAGAACAGAACAGAAGTTGTATATATTTGAAAATTATTTCAGTTATTAGACTCTCATTTTTAGGTGAGGACATGTGGAAGTTTATTTCACTAAATACCATTTTGCATGCTTGGTCTCAGGAATGCTTCTAAAATTGATTGTATGAGCCACTTCCGCCAAAAGAAACAAACAAAAAGCAGCCACTATAGGTAGTTGATGAAAGGTCCAGAACTATTTGATAATCCATACATCTGCACACCTCCAAAGCTTTGAATTTAATTCCCATATGTTTAGTACATGATGCTGTATCAGTTGAAAGATTTGACAAACTGCTGCTAGAAATTTTGCAAGCTGTTCCAGTTAAATTCACTTAAACCTCAGACTTCTATTTAAGGAAATTACACTCTCTGAAGAGTGAAAGAATGTTTAGACATTGCTCTTTCTAATTTTTGAAAGGAATTTAAAAAAACGCCATTAGCTTTTACTTTGGAAATTTTCCACTCTTTTCATCTATAGACCCGTAAAAACCATTTATGTTGTACTGAGGCCATGAAACTGAATTCTAAGGAATGGCAAAGCCATGAAAACCATGTCCTGCTAGATGACTTGAGGGAGAAAGATTGTTTGGATTTTTTTAATTAGGTAGTTTTCGTGCTGCCCGTATATAATTTTTCTTGTCTGTTTTCTGTATGTCTCACAAAATATGCAGGTATATATAAATAAAAATCTAAAGCATGTGTTATTCTTGTATAATATAGACAGACAGCAGACTATTTGATGAAGACATTAACATAGTAAGATTCTACATTATGATTCTTTTCTGAGCTGAAAGTTAGGAAATTGGAGTTGGAAGGAACATTACTACAGGTCTTTTTATTGAAATATTATCAAAGAACTCAACCTGCTGAAATAAGCTGAGCTTGAATTAATATTTTAAAACTCACCCCTTCTGTGGGTTTTTTGGGGGATTTTGTTTGTTTTGTTTTTAATATTTAGGTAGCTGGATATGGTTTTCAAAGGGAAAGAAGTTAGTTTTCTTTTCATAAATTGTATCTTTATATTGATCGGGGTTGGAGGCCTTCACAGCTGACTAGTTATATTTAAAAATTAAAATGAAGACATTAATAGGAATAAATGTATTAAAATTGGTTCTGCAGAAGAATAGAAGGACTGTAATGAGCAGGTTTAGAATCAGTTAATAGTTCAGAATTTTTAAATCTGACAAGATCCCTTAGGCTAAATGGAAAAATCAATGACTGCTCTTAATTGACAAAACTATGAAAAGCCATGTCATTTTTTTGTAGAGGTTTCACACCTTTTTGAATGAGAAACAATCAGCATCCAAATTATTTCTTTTATCTTGTAATAAATGTTCAGCGCAATAAAGTTATTTTAAAGAATACAATTAATTCAACAATGTTTATGTTTGAGATTTGTATTTTATCCTTCTGTGTTCCAGGGTGAACGTGGCTTTGCAGGTAGCAAAGGCAAAGAAGGTGAAAAGGTAAATTATTCTGTCCATGTTTTTCATTTATTTTTTTGTTTGACAATTTGATATATGGCCAGCCAAGTAGAGCTTTTTGCTGAAGGTCTTCCTTAACTCTTTAATTAATAAAATTCTTATTTTTTTCCTATGTAATTGCTTAAGAACAAGGAGTTTTTATGTGTGTTACTTAGTGCCATCAGTGCTTCTTTTAGAATTTTTTTTCCTTAAGAGAAGATTTACTGAACAATAGCCACTGGACTTCAATAGTGTTTGCTGCTATGTTATTTTTATGGTAACTACTAGTAAATGTCTGTTTATATAGTATGAAATGTATGATGAGATGATGTGTAGGTATTTATAGTACTTAATTATTGCTTTTTCTACATTACAATTACTTTTATGGGAACTTATTATGTTGATTGTAAGTACTAAATATTCTACATACTTTTTTCACAAGAACCTAAATTTACTGTAATAGCAAAATATAACATTTGCTACAGTGCAACTGACTGCTAATTTAAAAATTAATTTTAATTTGCATAGTTTTGTGTACCTACACAGTAATCAATATGAGTTCTGTCTCCTGTACACATCTGACTTGGAGCGAATTGACTTGACTGCCAAGGCCTGAGCCGAATGCAGGTCCATTTACCTCTAGCAGTTCAATCCCTTTGCTTGATGTACTGGTGTGTTGCCCTGAGGATAGTCTTAATCTCCTGACAGCCATAAAATGTTTCCCAGACTAAATTCCAGGGTAAACCTTTCCTTGTTCTTCACCAGTGAGTATCAGAAATGGAGCTTGAAGTAATTTATCCGAATTGCATATTTTCTGCAGTGGCCAGAAGTAGTTCAACAGCTTATGTATTAAAATGGGAGTTAAACTGGCATTGTACAAGGCTACCATGGCTGACAGAATGCCAGCATTGGGTGGCTCTCGATGATGCAACCTAATCTTCTTGTGTGACTTCAGAAAAGCAGGTCTGCACAGGTCATCAAAGGCAGGTATAAGCCTGTGTTGAGGTACAAGTGGAAGGAGGAGCCTATTACTAGTTTGCCTAACAGGAATTAAAGTAACAGTGGTGATAGTTCATGGTTGTAACTTCAGTTCTTAACCATGTTAGCCTGGTTACTGCTTTTTCACCGATTTTGGCTGATTTGGATTAGGCAACCTCAAATATGAGTCTTTTCTTGGGTCATAGATAGTTTCTCTGTGCTTCAGCTCATTGTCTGAAAAAGGTGCAGAAAAGTATTTCTGCTGAATTTATATATCATAAAGATGAAGAATGAGAGATACTGCTATTCTGCCAATATTCAGACTGATGAAAATAGAGAGTAAGTGGCAGCTTCTGAATTTAAAGAAGTGTAATATATTTGTGATTTAGGCTGCTTTGGACATCGATATATTCACTCACCCACCATACCTCTTCAGAAGTGTCAGACATCTTTCCAATGTTCATATTTTAAAGAAAGATTTAAAATGTGGAGTTTTTTAAAGGAGGAAGTATTCCAGTAGCCAGGATAGAGAAGTATCAGAAGTAAAACCCAGCATCCATAGCAACTAACATTTCTAATGTGAGAATTCAGCCTCTGAAAAAACACACTTATTAAGCTTGAGTGTTTCTAACTGCACTGACAGATCTTATTTCCTTGGTGGTATCATTATTCATCAGTTCTGATGGGCTTGTGGGTTTTTCTTTATCTTTTTTTTTCCCCCTCCCCATAATTGCTCTGCAGCTGTGCTGTACTCTCCTCAAGTTTTATGAATAAATTGTGTTTGGGCACAGGCACATGGTTCCAGCTGTTGCTGCCACTCTCTTTGCTTGATTTTCCCTTATTTTGAAGCAGAGATAAAATGACCCAACCACTGGCAGTTTCCTTTTTCTTACGTGGAAGCTGAATCAGCGTGTTTAGACCATTTTTTTGGGTTTTGTCTTGTAAATTCAGAAGATAATTAAAAGACCCCATTTAAAAATACTTCCAGTGTAACTATTAATGCTGCATTTAACTGTCCTTCAGATAAAGGGAAATGTAAGAGTGGAAGAATCTTTATTAACCAGGGATCACTTGAAAATAATTTGGGCCAGTCTCATCAGAAGCTACACATGTTTGTGAGAAAGAATATGTTTTTCAGGTTATAGGAAGTAGGTCTTTAGCATTTAATCAATTCAGCTTTAATTCAAATAATTATTTAAGAATAACATTGTTGAGTTTCCAGTTACTAAACTCCAGAATAAAAAATGTATCAACACATTTACATTTTAACATAGCATCACAAAATATAATAGTTATACATACTACTTTCTGTGTAACGTGATTACAAAGCCTGAAGTGGAAAATTTTCCTATTACCAAAAAATTCTGCCTCATCTTGCATATTAAGGAACAACATTCTTGCATATCACCTAGGGTGGGACACAGCTGCCTAAACATGGGATATTTGCCATTCCAGACTGCACAAAAGCGCATGAAAATGTCACATTTTTGGTTTAGTGACCCTATAATTCCATAGGACTGAAAACTTGAAACCAGCTCAGCCTTATACCCCTTGGTTCACTAAATAAAACTTAGTTGATTTATTGTATTATGTTCTGCTTTGGCAGAGCAAGCCTTGGGGACATCAGAGAGATGTAGACAACTGAGGTGACAGTGAGTGATCATTTGTACACTACAGTTATGGGAAACATCCATAATTTAAATTATTGAGGGAGATTCTTTCAGCCTGTTTAAAGGTTTCTTTGTCATACTTGGTTCTTCTTGAGGAATCCAAGTCTTTTTCTGCCTTCAACCTTTTTTTTGGCCATGGTTTAACTTGGTTCTCCCTTGCAGAAGCCAGTACTCGTAAGGGAAGCTACAGACTGCATGTGCAGGTGTTATGCTGCAAGTTTTCCCTCCAAGGGAAATACACTCTAACTGACTGTGAATTTATTTTAATTTTACTTTGTATTCTGCTTTCCTTGTGTTACTTAGATAATGACAGTCTTATATGATGGTCTTATAACTGCAACAAAAACATTGGTTTACCCTTAAATAGCATGACTGAAATAATATAGCTGAAAGCAGTTTTGATTGGTTTGCTGCCAAGAAGGCAGACTAAATCATGTGGATCTGTCCTCCTTGTAATACCGTTTAGAGCTGTAATTTTACAGTATGGTATAGAAAATATGACTATTACATTTCATGATGATAGGAAGTCAGGAGGGACTGATAATAACAAGAAGAAATGCAGAATGTTCTTGGTAAATCAGTGATGTAGTTGAAAAAAAGTAGGATCAAACATAGAAAGAATAAGTGCAAGGAACTACTTGTAGGGGAGAATAAATCTGAGCTGCAAAAATCCCAAATGAAGTAATATATACTCAGAAATTAAAATCTGAGGGTAGATCAAAAGCTGAACACAGGTAAATGAAGTTGCAACTGAAAGACTTCTACTAAGATGTTCCAAAGTAGAGTATTGTCTGCAACAGTAATTAAAAAGTCCTGCACTGTTTGGTATTGATATGGCTTCAATTTAACAGATTTTGAAAGGCAAGCACTGAGAATGACTGAGTTCTCAGGAACAGAGAACCTTTGAGGCAGGGTTGCATGATTGGAGATTACTTACTGTGGAGTGAGCTGAAAAGAAATATGTTAACAGTGTTCGAATACATAACATTGCTGCAAAGAGGGGAGAAATGGTCTATTGGTGTGACTGTAGTGTATGCAGAGCAACGGGCTGGAAGTGCAGCAAGGAAGATGCTGTGTAGCCAATAGGAAAGGGTTTTTAATTTTAACACTGTTGTTTATTATGGAAGTAATTTCCTCTTCCAGTGGTGGCACTTTTTATTCTGGTAACTCGAAAGGGAATTACACTAAAATACTTGCTTCATGAGATTATCTTAAATGATTTTTCCTTTTTCTGTTAATAGCATCAAAATTATGCAAGACATCACTTACACTTATTTCTAATTGGATAAGCACAGAGAACAGCAAGACAGTTTCTTTTTAAACTTGTTTGGTTTTAATGGCCAGTTAATAGTTTTCTGTGATAGGACAGTAAAGCTCTGGAACAGGTTGCCCAAAGTGGTTTTGCATCATCTTTTCATTGAGGTTTTCAAGACCAGCCCTGAGCAACCTGGCCTGATTAACTAACAGGCTCTGGGCCTGGATTTCAGCCTCTGTAGATTTCAATATCTCAGACCTATCTTAAAACCTGCAGAGGTTGAAATCTGGTTTATTATTATTTATTTGTATACTAAAGTATGTGCATCACTTGGGAGTTGGAATTGTCCCAAAGCCTGTTAGTTAATCAGACAAATGCTTTTTTCCTTTGTTAAATCTGTAATTAATTCTCTTTTAATCTCCTGGTTATTGCTTCCTTTGATCACTTAGTACTCTTTACCCAGGTCCCCCATTTTTTCTGTCATCTTGTTTACCTTTTTGGATAGAATATGTATTTTCTTTAGTGTACTTCAGATATGATTCCTTCTGTAACTGAGCTAGAAAACTGAGAATTCAGTTTTGTGGGATACACGGTACATGAACACTATATAAATTTCATTACCATTTGGCAGCATGTGTGGAACAAATCTAATTTGAAATAGTGGTGATAGAAAAGCCAACACATTTACATCTTAACTATAGCTGAGCAAACATGACTTAATTGTCATGAACAGATAGTAGTCATTTCATGGAGCCGGGAATCCCAAATTCCTTGCCTTCCTTAGCTACTTCAAAATGTTAGTATAAAATCTCTGTTTCTCAATTTTAACTCAGAAAGGCAAGTAAGGTTTGTTGCTATATAACTAAATCATTGTACTAGTTGATATCTTAGGGGACTCGGAAGTTGTGGGTGACTGAGTAGGAGGATAGCTGTGCTCTGAAAAGGGACTCTTCAATTGCAGTTTTCCTGGACTGCTTTGCTTTATAAAGCATATTCCCCTCCCATCTCACACTTGAAATAGAGGATTTTAAAACTGGATGTCATTGCAGCTGAGCTATGTAGCAGTTTATGTGCTGTGATATGCACTTGTAAACATTTGA